GTGTGTGAGTGAGTGAGTGAGTGAGTGAGTGAGTGTGTGTGTGTGTGTGTGTGTGTGTGTGTGTGTCTGTGTTTTACCGTGGTTTGGGCACGTGTTCCTCAGGCACCGGCGTCCACATCGAATCACTCTTCTTCTGCTCCTTAAACTTCCCATTAAACACTTGCTCAATGTCATCCAAATAAAACCCGCACACCGCTGAGCCGGGAATGCTGGGACACACAGACACAGACTGATCAAACATGTGGTGCGGTGTGTGTGTGTGTGTCACATTTTAACCGGTACAGTACCAACAAACTCTTCATCTTTTCACTGCAGAGGAAACAGAAGCTGCATCTGAAGTGGCATTAGATGTATTCACACAGACTGTTTAATGAAGCCGTGGTGCCATAAATGCATTTACACCACAACATTTCAAATGCATAAATAATTTTGTAAGTTTTAAATACTTTTGAACATACAAGTTAAAAATGTTGGGTAAAATGCAATACTTGTAAATATGAAACCAAACCACCAGTAGATGATGGTAAATGACTGTTTTAATGAGCGAATCATTAGTCATTCATTCAAACGGCTGATTCATTCAGACTGAATCATGCGTCTGCTTTTATGAAAGGGTTACTGAATCATTGACTCACTTGATTCGCTCAAAAACGTGGATTCATTCAGAATCGAAACACTGCTGTGTTGCTCGGAGACACAAAACAGTTCTGCTGTGGCTTTGATTGAAACTTCGTCAGCGAACTTGAGCAAAAACGGTCAATATTGTATTAGAAACTGCCAACTTTGTGTCTGCCTCACTCACAGTGAAGAACTTCCACGCCAAGCTAGTGTGCATAGGCCATGAAGTTTTGGCAAAATAATACATTAATGGACCGGAGGTGATAATATGGAATTTTTTCCAGAAAACTTCTTGCACAAAATATATTCAAGCACTTTCAAGGACCTGTATCTATGCATGTTTATTTTCAAAAACTTTACAGGGCCTTGATTTAAAAAAAATAAAAGAAATCTCTTCATATAAACAAACTAAGCTCTTTCCATTTAAAATTAGAGGCAACCACTGCATTTTAATCATGATCCAAACAAAGATGCATCACATGCAGCATGAGCAGTTTTTAATCTAAATTAGACTGTATAATTTCGAAATCTGAAGCAAAAACAGAATGGTCTGACTTTAGTTTTGTGAAACTATACTACATAAAACATCTGAAGGAAGCAGCAGACGAGCTGAATGAGACGCAGATTCACTCTCTGACAGCAGGTGGCGCTCATGAACAGCAATGATACAGTTTTTCCTTGGTTACCGCTGTAAACAAAGCAGAGCTGCTCTTATGAACAGCAATGATACAGTGTTTCCTTGGTTACCGCTGTAAACAAAGCAGAGCTGCTCTTATGAACAGCAATGATACAGTGTTTCCTTGGTTACCGCTGTAAACAAAGCAGAGCT